TTGAAAAGAAATTAAGAATTCTCTAGTGTGATATTTTACTTTTTTGAACCTCAAGGAGAGCTCTTGGCACTGGAAGATCAGAACAAAGAATCTTCAACTACTTACACGGGAAGGAGGTATTTTAACCTGTAGGTTATTTAGTTCATGTGTGATTTAGTTTAATCAATGAATTGACATGAAACCAAAGAGTTTTAAGTTACAAGTAACGTTTCACTGCACAATATTTATTTTTGTAAAAAAATAATATAATTATAATATTAGGGTTGCCAGACTAGAGTTTACAAAACTTAAACCTTGCTTAAGTTATGAGTGGCATAATTAATTAGGCTAAAACAAGAGAAATAGCAAGACCGCGCGGCGACTACACAAACACACTGATTTCACTCCGCGCTTAACAAACAAGATGGGCAAATATAAGGGAAGTGGGAACTACACAATTATATTCCAGGAATGAACAACCGGCTCGTGGGCAGAGAAAAAGTGTACGCCCTGAAAAAAATACTGCTTACCGAACAAGAATTTTTTAGATTATAATCCTACTAATATTATTAATGCGAAAGTTTGGATGTCTGGACGTCTGGATATTTGTTACTCTTTCACGCAAAAACTACTGAACGGATTTTGTAGAAACTTTACGGTATAATTGTAAAATTTTGCCGATCTGTGACATTTTACGCGGGTGAAGCCGTGGGCAAAAGCTAGTGAATTATCTTGCTAGAAGCTTTGATCTAGTTTTCCATTGTTTGGCATGTTGATACTGAAAGTATTTGGCAACAGTGATCTTGATGAAGTTGTTTCAAATAAGCCCCAAAATGCCTTATTTAACGATATTTATTATTTATGTTTTTTTTCAATGTCAATAGGTTTCAAATAAAATAAATTATTTAAGTAACTTTACTTCTTAATAAATAAGCAGTTTTTTAACCATTTATAGAAAAATTATAGGACATTTGTAAAATAAACAAAAATAATGCTCCTTTTTAGTGGTACAGAAACCAACAAGCAACAGTGACATAATACAACATTTGATAACGATGCGTTAACTAGAACATGATCCAAAGTTATTATCCTGTCCTACATAACACGTAACGTTACGTTTCGCAGTAACGTTTTACCCTACATCTTCTTACTCCGTGACGTCACGATTGTCTCCTTACTGGTTGGCAAAATTGCCAATAAAAATTTGATCGCAGTCCGGGGGCTCTTTTGCTTTTGATAGATCATTTTCCATTCCTTTGATCATTGGCGCAAATTGAAATTGTGGAATTAAATTGACTAGATGCTTTGTGAGTGGAGGTGCGAATGTGTAAGATTGAATTGGTTTTACTATTATGTAAATGAGATTCATTTGATAAGACTAAGTATCGATACTAATAACAACATTTTAAAAATTAGCTCGACGTTTTTACACTGTAAAGGGCTGAAGCTATCAACTGATAGGTATTAAGTAACAGAGACAGAATCACATTTTATAGTTAAAATTAAACTTATTTCATCATCATCATTATCTCAGCCATAGGACGTCCAGTCGTCCACTGCTGAACATAGGCCTCCCCCAATGCTTTCCATGTTGCCCGGTTGGTAGCGGCCTGTGTCCAGCGCCTTCTACAGCTACCTTTACTTTATTTATTAAAGTTAATTTAGTAAACATCATTTAGTAAAGTACATTTCACCGCTAACCATTGTATATTACATAATATCTACCTTCCAATAATTGTGTCTAATTAAATACCTATGAGACTAAAGCTTTTGCAGTTTCTTACATGTAAGTATTATCACCAAGATTAATTTCTTTGATAATTTTCATTTCCAAGTAAACCTCGAGGAAACAACATACCACGTGTATGTAAAACTTTTTGTTTATAATGTAAGCGGATTGCTAATCGGAAAAGTTCGCTGTGAAATGTGAAATTCACGACTTTGTTTGCTACGGAATGATTTACCTGCAACGCTTAATGGGTTTGGCGCGTGTAGCCGTTAGCTAATACGTTTATATGTAGATATATGTTATGCAGATCACGAATGGTCAGGAATTCTTATTAATCTGTTTGAATTACCTATAAGCAGCTCAAACCGTTGAACGGATTGCGCTAAAAGCCACGCAGATAGACAATGTGACGTAGGCATTCGTTAAGAAAGGATTTTCCAAAGTTCACCCCTTATGAGGATGAAATGGGAGTCCAAATTTTAACGCAAGCGAAGCAGCGGCTAAAGCTAATTAAATTCACTGAAGTTGTAAATCTCAGTCTACTGACAAGGCAGAAGAAGATTGGTAAGTATCTTTTTTGTGTGATTTGCATAAAGACAGAAACCTTGAAACAAAACCCTGCTTAGGCTCACACAGGCTATTTACAAATTCCGAGGGTCGAAATTGTTTATTTTTGTATCAAACCTAAATTCACGCGATCGGATCCAGGAAATAAACGCTGGCATAAAACAAAAACTCAGTGCAATTTTTCTCCTCTGACACTGGCTTTTGACCCACTAAAAGCATGAAAATCGCGAAAATTCGGAACAAAATAGGTACGTAAAATAGTTCGAAAGATAGGTCAAACCCATTTCGTAACCTGGCCTACTTCGTTAGGGGTCCGTAATACGCAACCTATGTTATTTGTGATATTTTGTTGTCGGTTTACGAGTTTTGTTTTTCTTTCATTTTAATCGCATCTTTATGGAGCATTTTTTAAAATATGAGCAGGAATTTAATATATTTTGTAGTGCAGATGGGATAACGATTATTTTTAATATAACCTCATGAAAAGTTTTATTCGTTTCTTACTATAAATGATATTGTGTCATCATACGTTTAGCTTTTATAAATTGTTCAAGATCACGTAGTAAAATACTAATTATGAAATGGTTGTAATATTCTTAATTAATAACTTATTTGGATATTGAAATATATTTTACTTTTCCCGGAACGGAATTGCAATTGGCTTTTCGGAGAAACTCATTTCAACTGCTCTCCAAACTTTTATATTCTGTCCAAACGAACCAACAGTGCTGTAATCGATTTTTTCACACAGGATTTTTTACGGTTTTCTGCCAAAAAAACTGCTGTCTGTTGAATGCAAATGCATGCAAATGTGCTCGACTTCGAGACGTCAGTCTGTACGAGTTTTAGTTAGTAATTGTTTGTAACTAACTTTTCAATCATCATCATAATTTCAGCCACAGGACGTCCACCTTGTGGGTGGACATGCCACGCTGCGTTTTCCGGTACGCGGCCTCCATTCCAGAACCTTGCTGCCCCATCGGCCGTCAGTTCTGCGTACTATGTGCCCTGCCCATTGCCACTTCAGCTTGATAATCCTTTTCAAACTTTTGAAACAGTCAGTTGGCTTCATTGGAACTGTTTTACACACTCTATTTTGAAAAGTTTTGGAAATCTTCCTTTTCAACCGACTTCAAAAAAGGAGGAGGTTCTCAATTCGACCCGTATGTTTTTTTTTTTTCTATGTTTGTTACGCGATAACTCCGCCAATTATGAACCGATTTTAACAAATCTTTTTTCTGCGTATAGGTAATACCTCAAGGGTGGTCCCATTTAAATTTAATAATAGAAAAACCAACCCCCAAGGGTGGAAAATTGGGGATGAACTTTTTTATACGCAATATCTCCGCCGATTATAAAACAATTTGAACGATTATTTTTTTGTTGAATAGGTATTATCAAAAGGGTGGTTTCATGCGAATTTGAAGAAAATATTTCACCCCCAAGGGTGGAAAATTGGGGATGAACTTTTATACCCAATATTTTCAATTTTTTTAGTTTTTTTTTGTGTTCACGCATTTGAAGTCGGTTTTATTTTTTTAAAAAGTTATTTGTTTATTGCTTAGGTAAGCGGGTGCTTATGCATTTAGTATTTAAGAACCATCCGATGTCTGTTAACTTGATACAATATTACCTAAGAATCTAGGCCCGTATTAGGAAAACAAGTTCGAGTCAAACTCGAGTAAATAAAGGTTTTCTTGTTAATACATAAAAGCGGAAGATCGTTTTCCTTGATAATGACGATGATGGTGATAAGTGCTACTTGTGTCATTATTTTGGTTAGATTAGCTTAACGTCCTTAGGCTTTGCTCAGCCTTCATTGGTTGGGTTTTTTATTATTCAAACTGTAAAACCTAGATACACAGGAGTTAGTGGTGAAAAAGAGCGTTTGATTTCATTATTACAACCTTTGAATTTGCCGCCTAAAATGTGGGTACGCCGAATTTTTTCTTCTAGCGCCATCTACACGGTGTTCAGTGTTGTATCTACTATGTCGTGAATTGGTTCTGTGATATTTCTCAGGTTTTCTTGCTTTTTGAAAATTATTTTCTACAACGTTGCCGAGTTTTCATCACCTGGAGTGTTCCAGAGATGGCGTTAATACGGATAAACCATAAGTAGGTACACAAGTACTCATACTTATTTTAAGAATAAATATAGGAATTAAAAATAAAGGACTCTTAAACAAATTAATCAGATAGGTGCCAAACACTACTACTTAGTACTTGAGCAAGTTATTTTTATATAATTTTATTTTCAAAAAGGAATAGTTTTCATTGCAAGTGACCTTATCTCCTTGACCCAATCGATTGTTTTAACGACCTAGTTCTGTCTGTCTGTGTGGTACCTACTTTTGGTGACCATGATGAATAATTTATGATAGCACCACTATCGCCATAATCAATGAAACGTTGAATTTGTTATCGTTGTAATGGCATGCGATTGCAGAGTTAGTGCTCAATGAATATGAATAATTTAAAGCTACTGGACGATTCATCTAAGTCTTCTCTTCTTCTTTCACGAGATTTATAAGGACTTTGGAATAAATAGGAAAATAAAAATGAAGGATAATTTGGTCGTTACTTTTAGAAGCATGTTAGGTTATGCAATCTAATTTTCTCTCACACTATTGCATACTAATCTAAGTAAGGATAAGGCTATTAATTAATAAAAACAGCACTTAATATGTTATAATATATATTCGTGAATCTTTTACATGGGTGTATTTTAAATAATTCCTTTATTTTAACACACAACAAATATACAAATAACATACAATATATCCATGAAGGACAGCTAATGGATTACAAATTCCGCTTTTAGTGAGCCAAAGCTTGCCAAACGTTTGCCTAGTGCGGCAAATGTTGGAACAGAAATGGAAAACAATTGAAAGTTTAAAAAAATACAATTGTGTAGATTCTATGTTTTGCTAAACAACACTCTACCTAAAGCCCGTCACTACGATATGCTTCTTTCATGCCCTTCTATGGGACCCACAAACACTGCTAATACGCTATATTACAACTTCTGTATAGATTTTATATTAGACGGAGCCCACGATCTTATATCATTAATAAAGTAATGCTTGTTTTTCTATTGTTTTTTCAGCACTTACTTTATCCCACCTGAAGAATCTTTTGGTATTTTGACTGTTGAATAATAATTATGTGCTTTTTAGATATAGGTAAGTATGTTTCATCTCACTTAAACTAACATTTATTAATACTGGCAAGAAATCACACACACCAACACAATGTTTTGCTAAGGCTGAGTTGCACCATCTAACCTTAACCGTAACTTTAACGAAAACCGGTGTTCATTATACGGAATTTGATAGATTTTTGACGTTTGTCAAAAATAAGTAAGTAGTGGTAACGTCAAAACTCTGTTAGAATCCATACAAAAAACTTTGGTTATCTTCATAGTTACGGTCAAAGTTAGGTGGTGTAACCCAGCCTGAGTGTCTCTTTGTGATAATCATGAGACAAATATAGGCCTTTTTTCTTAGATTTTTATAAGTTACAAGTTTTAGACTTTGAGTTATTTTGGAGCTGCAAGAGGAAATCCTGAAATAAATAAGGCTGATTTAATGATTATAAGATCGTCATCATTCCCTTCCTGGTGACGTTGTGTCCACGCTATTTAATTGATTTCGTCAAATTGACATTTAAAGAAGTCCAACGACTCATATCTTGAAGTACTAAAACTTTAAATTTAAACCGGCTCAACATTTCATAGCATACAAACAGAATTAATTTCGGCTACATATCCATAATGCCAATATTTTAAATATTTAGTATATTCAATAATTTTTATATTCTGTATTTATAAATTTGGCGTCATAAGTATTCTTCATAAACTTGTTAACTTCTTTAGGTACTTGTAAATATCTATATGAAGCGACATCACAAAAGACGTGAGAATGACAATATATTTATGAGAGCGTACGTATTTATTTTGAATGTCCCATCCGTAAGATGCCAACACATGTCTTAACTAATTTTCCTAATAATTAGTTTCTAAAAAAATAATGTGCTCATGTCTCAACAGAATTTGATATAAATTGTATTGTCTATGTCTTCTACAGATAATAGTTCTAGTGATCCCATACAGGGTACACGTAGAATATAATTTTACTCAATAATACGTACTGAGATGATGCTCAAATTAAATTTTAGTTACAATAGTATAATTTTACTTATCCTAACGACTGCGGTTAGACAACACCTATCGTTAGATTTAACATAGCGTAGTAGGTAACAAGAATACAAACTGATTTATATGTAGGTAGATATAATACTATACAATTGTTTATTTAATTTTATACACACGTAAACGTATTTACAAACATTTCGGGTCATTTACTGTACCCGTTAGAACATTAGTTTGCAGGCCAAGTCGTTAAGCGTTAATATAGGTAGGTACTTACCAATGCATGCAATTTTACAAACACTGAATATAACGTTAATAACTCCAAGGTACACATAGAATACGCCAAAGTATAACAATCGATTAACTACCTTATTTAAGAAGCAACAAATCGTCATAATACTAATCGAAAGTCGAATAATGATGCTAATAAAATAAAAGAAGAAAACCAGTAAATTGCTAAACGTTATGTATTTACTACTTGCGCCATGAAATTGGTTATTGCGGAGACTAATATTGGTCCGAATCGCAATGGAGATAAAAAACATTGTAAAAGACCAATCGATAAGAAAATGCATGGAAATAAGAATGAATTTTCCAAAGAAACTAGACGCTAAAATTTCTACATGTTACTAATTTAAATTAAATCGTTGTCTTCAAAATATACTAATCATGACTCTAATAAATATTGAAAAAAAAGGCCGTAATGAAACTGTAAGCAAACGAAACTAAACCATGATCTCATCATACGTTATAATAAAGATAAAAATATTAACAACTATTAGAAGTACATATCAGATCCCTACTCCAGCTCGCAATATACATAGACATAGCTATCTAACACCTATATAGAATAGTACTAATACATAATTTCCATTTATTGTTACACAAGTTTAACAACGTTCAATTTTTTCTTAAATTATTTTATGCTTGACATCGTAACGATTAACATAAATAACTATACCGTTATTTTATAGTTTAGTAAACTATAAATTCTAATGATTAAATAAATTTCTCTGAACTGCATCAGAAATAATATCTAAGTCAAGGAACATCAAAATGATAGGGAATTGAGTCTACGCTTAGGTATCTTTATAAAGCAAGTGTAGGTAATACTTAAAAACGTACAAACTTATTGCTAAGTAACAAAAATGCAGTTCAGTCCCATTCCATTAAAAGAGACTTCATAATCGTCATCGAAAAATTTTCAGAAAATAAAGAAGTAAGTACGGAAATAAATATTAAAAGACCGTTTTCTTGTCTGGGAAATTTGAACCTTATTAACAGTTGCAGTTAGGGCTGCTATTTCCTTGCGGCTGCTCTGTGAGGCGTTGCCCGCGCGCTCCGCCTGCCAGCATTGCTGGTTCGGAGTCCAGACTTTCTGACATCTTGTCGCAAATGATGTCCACCAGCCGCTCGAATACAGCCTGTAAAGAAATATAACCAAACGTCAAGAAAGACCAGTAAAAAATCTAATAGAAGATAGGCAAGAATATGGTCGTCTTCGAGTCTAGTACGAGTAGTTCGAATCTAGTATGTCTTGTAACGTAGGGACTTGGACTACAGCTTGAATTCACAAACTACCGCTAGCCGGTTTTACTAAAAATAATATTAATATACAGGGTGTTAGGTAAATGGGTATATGAGCCGACACTAGCCCATGTTAACAATGCATATAAATGGTATGGTGAAGTCAGAAATTTGATAAATTCATTTAATTTTTTTAAATGTTCATACAAAATAAAATGTATAAAATCAGATTTGTATGAAAATTAAAATAATAAAAATGATGATATCAATTTTCTGACTTCACCATACCATTTATATGCATATATGTTAACATGGGCTAGTGTCGGCTCATATACCTATTTACCTAACACCCTGTACAAAATTCGAATTCCTAAACCATCAAATAAAGGTATACCTACTTCTAATCTATTATACCGAACTTCCTTCGAGATTTTTAACAAAGTTGATGATGAGAGTCTATTTTTATTTGTACACAAAATAACATAGTAGGTATTTGATAATAATCATAATTAACATTCATAACATAAAAAGTTTTCTGGGATTGAGATTTAGTTTTATTTTTATCAAATCTTTTCACGTCGCGCATATCTCTTGAATAATTTGTTAAAGTTTTGCGACTAATACCTATTATCTTTTGATTACTTTTATGTTGATGTTTCCTAGAAATATGGAATAAAACTTGTTTGCGTGGCATAATGTTGTTATTTCTTAGTTCTATATTAATATTAAAACCAAACCACTAACAACTGTGCAAGTTTTCACATCTAAGTTACTTGAACCACTTACGCTGAAAAAATAGCTAAATGTATAGAGAGAACCTTAGAGAAGGATACGATTTTTTTAATGTGGCCAGCATTTACATTCTCGATTATTACACCCGTATTCACAAACATTACTATGAGGTCGACAGTGCGCGTGGACGCATAGGGTGAAACACGAACCAATCACAGAGCTCTATTCAACGCATGTGCGTTTGATTTGCTGCTTCATTTGAGCAAGCAACGTATGTGAATACGGGTGTTACATAGTGAAAAATCCTTTGCTACTTTTCACTTGCATTGGGCTTACTTCTGATATGGTGGGTAGGTTTTGCGGAAAAAATATTGTGGCCAAATGCTACAGACGCAATAGAATAGGCAACTTCCACTCTTCTCGTGGTCCTAAAAGGCGACAGAGACACGTCACGAGGCGAACACCAGTTCTCCCCAACCAGTCTGGCTGTATACATATTTTCCTTGGTAAATTAGAGCCCAATGACGTCCACAGCTGGACAAGTCTTCCCCCAAGGATTTCCACAAAGACCGATCCTGCGCTGCTCGCATCTAGGTACTTCCCGCAATCTTCACCTGATTGTCGTTCCACCTAGTGGGAGGCCTGCCTGGAAATTAGAAATTAGAGAGGGTCGCGTGCTCTTGCAGATGCTAAATGACCCGAAGATGATGATGAATTTTTTTATGCATGACAAGGCAGATATTTGGCCGCAATCGCACCTGGTGTTAACTGAGATGCAGTCTAGGATGGTACATATCTACCCTGTAAGTGCCTGTTCACTCTCGAATTATAATGTCCGGGAAAGACAGCAGCAGGCAGCGAATTCCAGTCCCTAGCTAGACTTAGGGACAAATGCTAACAACTCTCCTCCCCAAACGGTCTGGCGTTCATTTTCCTTGGTAAATTAAAGAGGGTCGTGTTCTTGCAGTGGAGCCTAAAGAAATGACCTGAAGATGGTAATGATAATTTGCTGCAACTTACCTTAACATTGATGTTCTCTTTAGCGCTGGTCTCATAGAACTCGACTCCAAGTTGCTCAGCCAGCTGCCTCCCGCGCTCTTGGCTGACCACGCGTTCCTCCTCCATGTCACACTTGTTGCCCACCAGGATCACCTGCGCGTTGTCCCAGGAGTACGTCTTGATCTGTGTCACCCTGGAAATAGAGTTCATTTTATATCTTCAGGTATGTAATATGTTACGGCTAAAGATCGGTGTGAACATAAACTTAAGATTAGCCGGCTAAACTTAAGATTATCTTCGACGAGGTGTTAATGTTAGTTTCTTCTATCTTTAGCCGGCTAAACTTAAGTGTAACCGCAGGCCCTTGGCTAAAAATGTAGATGTAAATGGAAAAGGAAACAATGTAATAATGTTTACTATTTTGACACGAAAACTTACTTTTATGTGCCTATGTAGGTATTTAAAATTACAATTATTACAATAACAAAATATTAATTACTTAAAACAATATCTACCTAATCATTAAAATAAAATAATAAGGAACCATTTGGTCATTACAGAATCTTCTGTAGGTATTTAAAATTACAAAATAAAGCTGCGCGCGCGTTGTCTCCCCACCGCCCCCTCAAGAGCCCTCCAGCCTGGCGCGCCCATGGAATACATTTTTAGCCGTTTCGTTTTGGCTAATGTGCACATTAGCCGGCTAAAGATGGAATATCACGACGCAAACTAACATGTTATCGAACTTTAGCTGCTTCTCGAAGGTAAACTTAAGTTTAGCCGGCTAATCTTAAGTTTATGTTCACAACTATCTTTAGCCGTAACATATATGATGCATGATTTTCTTACGCCCGTATTCACAAACGATGCTTGCTTAAGTGAAGCAGCAAATCGAATGCACATCGTTGAATAGAGCTCTGTGATTGATTTGCGTGTTGACCCTGTGCGTCCACGCGCACTTTGAGACCTCATAGTAATGTTTGTGAATACGGGCGATATTTGTAACAAAAATAAACTGCTCAGGGAAAATATACCTATTACCTACTACATAAATAAGGCTAAAATGGCTATAATTTATGAATTAATCATTGTCTTATTTCTACATTAATCATTTTATTATTGTTTAGTTATTCGTATGTTTTTATAAAAACATTTTACAGAGCAATTAATAGTAATCACAATGTCAACTTTATGTGATTGTTGTTTATGATGTCAGCTATCTAGTCATGCGAAGTTGCTAGTGTTTTACAAATAACCTTGTTTATATTTTGAGTACCTATTCATTAATTTTAAACTTTCGCGTTGCATAATTGTACCGCTGCCGTTTGTTACCTATCCTATACTACTTTTATTTGCCTTACGAGGTAAAAAAACTCCCCCATTACTAATTGGTATGCTCCACTGACCCGCCGAGGGTTGGTTAGATTAATAGACTCACCAAACTTGGCTGTAACTTCAGGCATAAGACAGGAGCGAACCTGGTCCTACTTAAAATGCTGCTCGCACCGCGGGAGCTCAATATCAGAACGACCGAGGATATCTCATAATTTGGTGTTATTACTGCCCAAATACTGACACTAGATTGCGGTATTTTTATAGCCAGAACAATATTTTTGGGGATGTATTTTTCCGATTCCTTACTGAGTCCATAGTTCTAGTTTTTTGGTAACCAGAACTGGCTGTACATACATTATATATTTGGATAGCTATATTTTGAATGTGACTTTTATACTGTTTATTTATATCTGTCACTTCACATCTCTCTCTAAAAATAGACGGTCTATCTCTCATCACTCTCTTCTTTTTCTTTAAATCTTAATTCTATCAGCACTCTGCAATTCTACTAGTGTTTCTAGTTCCTAGAGTTCCTAGAATAGTCCATTTAATGGGCCTGTAGCCATCAAAAGTTTCCCACACGCCTAAATCGGGAAAACTTATGATGTCTCTTCTGGAGTTGAAATTTCACTAGATATGCCTATGATTCCGTTTGCTTCAAACTTGTTTCCAATTCACGAAGATATCCCATTTTTGTATAAATTAAAAAACATCAAACTATTAAATTCTAGTGCTCCTGAGTAATAAGACATTGATACATCTATTATCGTCATAGTTAAGTATTTACGAAGAAATGTACAGAATGCCATTTTTCAAAGCATCATTTATCAAGATGTCCTATTTGTAAACGGACAGGAAATTATAATAAATTGATTTCTTTTTAGGTATTTTGTGCGCCCTAAATTCTGTCTGTCGGGATTGTATTTATCGTAAGCTGGCCTTTTTGGCACGAAAGAACATGCTGTTGTCTGTATTATGCTCATCGTTTTTTGTGTCTAGTACATAAATCTATTCATGGTCTTCTTCTTATTCGAGTTGTTCTTTTAACTTAATCACAGAGATGTATTTACTGAAGAACGAATATAGCGAGTCAATTTATGTGTAGTATTACTACTATCTTGAAGCGGAACGGTGAAGATATCGGACTGGCCGACTCGAGATCTGAGGAACGCTGGCTAGTTCGAACCCCGCCGTTGCTTGACTGATGTGGTGGCCCACTCGTAACGTAACGCAAGCATATTTAGCATAGTGGTGAGTTTGTGCAATAAGTAGGTACAAATTACTAATATTCTTAAAAAAAAACTCACCAATCCTGGACACTGTTGAAGCTTTCCTCGTTGGTGATGTCGTACATTAAGATGAAGCCCATCGCCCCCCGATAGTAAGCAGTTGTGATGGTCCGGTAGCGCTCCTGGCCGGCGGTATCCTGGAATATCAGTTGGTATTACAAATTATCAAGCTTCAGTCTTATTGCCTTATAATAAGGTCTTAAAATACGCTCAAATCTAGATGGATACTGAAGCACAGTGATGTGACTGGAACCACATAGAAATCACACCGGCAGGCACACCGAAATCAGACGCGTTTTGTAAGAAAGTGATAAAAAATTAAAGGTACGAAATATTGCAAGACGTTATGACGATTTTCCTAAGAGTAAAGCAAACCTACAGATCTATCAGTAATAATGACATCAATATTACTTTTATTTCTTCCTTCTGTAATCTCCCTGAATAGCCTTGTCACACTAACTAGAACCATCATTCCTTCATTTCAACCACTATACTCTCTGGTCTTCTTGTAATAATCACGGTTCTTTATGTGCAGTTTAGCTTTTCAAGGAAAATCTCAAGCTAAAAAGGCGGAAAACCAATAACTAATCTAATTTATGTGACGCCAAAACTTTCCCGTGACATAAAAAGCGTAAATAACGTTACAGACTATAAATGACATTGTTATCGCCGACCTAGGGAAAAGTTATCTCATTTCCAACCAAGCTGGCTAAGTCCTTGCTCTACTAAACTAGTTGCATAGGAAATTGGAAGAACTTCAGGCATTTACCGATGTGGCCTATGTAAGTTATTGCTTTGCGATTCAATATTTTCTGCCATCTTCCTTTCTGATTGCAAACTATTTCCCCCGTTTGAATGTTTTGGAGAATGTAGTTTTCTAGCAATAAGACCGATTTCATTTCAGTGACTAATTTTGTGTGACATTTATGAATTCTCTAAACAAAAATCATAGCATCACAAATCACAACTGAACACTGCGACGGAGGTAGAGATGTGCTGCAGTGATAATCTGATTCTGTTACAGAGTGAGCCAACGTAAAAGATTAAAAGCATCTGGTACTCATCAATATAATACCGTCAAATAACACATTCCGGTGCTATTGAGTGATGTCAGGATGCAGAGCTATAGCACACTAAAGACACCAGAAATGCGTTATATTTAGAATTAATAGAGGCATAAAGAGTCCTTTCTAATGCCTTTGAACATCAGCGTTAGCTTATAGCGTTCTGATGCGTACTAAAATACACTTTTTTAAACTACTGGAAAAAACATACATTTAATCAAATAAGTATAATAGAAAAGTTCATACCCATATCTGAAGCTTCACGCGTTTGTCGTGACGAAAGACTGTCTTCACCTTGAAGTCGATACCCACGGTGGAGACGAAGGCCGACGTGAACGAGTCGTCCGCGTATCGGAAAAGGAAACTGAAAGAGATGAAAGATGCCATTATACGAAACAGTTCGGAAGAATATAACATTTCTTATAAGGAATCCTGTTTCAAAGAAATTGTGGGAGCGGAGATATTCCTATTTAAAAATACCTCAGGACTCTGCGTGCCTAATATGTGCGTATGTTATTATAAATTGAAGAAAAAGAAAAGGAGTGTGTTTGTAATTTAATTTTCACTCTAAAATCGTTATTTTTAGATCTTTTATAAGAAAGTAAAGCCATATTTCAAAAAGTACGAAAAAAAAACGCGGACAGGAATTTTTAAAGATTTTTGAGGAGCAATGTGGAAATCTTTAAGTACTTTACTTGTACAAGCTTTACGAGAAAGTAATTTCAAAGTTTTTACAAGACGAAACGTGGATGCCTGTCTAATATGTGTTTTGAAGACACTGGCTCCTAAAATAGCTATTATGTTAACAGTTTTAGGTTCAAAATGCAGTAGGTATGTATGTTACGTAGGTATGCGTTCATTTCAAATTACAATTTATATGTTTTTTTTTTTATATTAGGTAAAATCGTATTATGTTTACTTAAATTTTGCGTCGGACAAATGACAACGCAATATCCACCCACAGTATCCATCCACCCCTTGGATATAATGCAAATAGGTATTGCGGATGTTGAGAGCTATGTAATATTAATGATGCTGAGTGATGGATATATTGACGACGTATTTGTATTCCCCTTTTACCTATCCCAACATAAAAGAAAAATGCGATATTTTGATGAATTCTTTGTCACTTTCAGTTTAACTCAATATCGCTGTGATGATATAAATAAAAAAAGAGATATCATAATTTTAGTTAAACCGAGTTTTTATAATAATCTCTGATTTACTTTCAATGTTTACTGTATATCAAGACACGAGGTAGAGTGTCAAGCCAAGTTCAAGTAACAGAACTGACGAGCAGCACGGTGTGTAATATACACGAACCATTTGGAGCCACTTCTGACGTCCTCATAACTCATACAGTTGACAGCATTACACTTGGTATTTGTTTTTTGTTGCACAATGTCATCTATTACAACGACATAAGATGCCACAGTCACACACAGTAAACAAATAAATAAATAAAATAAAATAAATAATACTTATTACAATTATTATTAATACAGTATTTAGCTAGTTTATTAATATCATCTGTAAAGTGGAAATAAATGGGAACTCACCTAGTCTTTCCTACAGAACTGTTTCCTATAATGAGGAGCTTGAACATGTAGTCGAAGTTTTGGTCCGCCGCATCCTTTTGCCATTTTGGATCGCCGCCACCAGCCATCTGGAATGATTCAAGTATTACACATATTGATGAAGATTCTAGAATAAGTAATGGTGAGTGTAATCAGATATCAACTAACTAAGCGTGACGTGTTGTAACTTGTAAGTACCTTATTAAAATAAAACTCTGCTCAGTATATTTTGTATTTAAAAGTGACATTTCCAAAATTAGAAAAATATTTTCTCCCTTTTTAAAATGTAGCGCATTTTATTGTCATTATAGCCATTTTTTAACGTAATACAATACATTTTTTTGTGGAAAAAGTTAAAAAGAACTGAAGATGTTGTTCTTTAAAATTGTACTCCTAAATCTACTGCTGAATCAATTTAACATTTTTTGACAATAAAATATATTTTTACAATTTCTTTTGTCAATTCTCATTAACATTTTCATTTACAATTATTATTTTTTCCGATTTCATTAGATTATAATGCTATTGCTTTAATAATCACTACCTCTGTATGCTCTTCATTGTTGTTAAGCGCAGGTTCGTTATTTTTCATCACGTAAACAAATACACGTTCAAACAAACATTATTAACACGACCACCTTTTCAATTCGCAATGTTTGACTACGGAAAATATCACAAAATACGCTTCAAAAGCATTATATTCCCAGACACAAAGGCAACTTAGACCCTACGGCTCTTACTTTACAATTTAAAACGCTTTGAGAAAAACTCGTGGCGCATGTTATTAGCCACGCTCCTTATCTCTCAAAGGACAAAAGAAATTCACTCTTATTTTCAGGACTACAAAGACCAGTTCATCATCGAGTTTTTTTTATTCTTTACATGGGACCAAAGCAAAATGAATTCCAGATAATGTTCCATAATATATTATCACCACATCCTACACACATTTTTTTATACTAAATTGTTTTGATTGTATCTTTTGTTGATACTCATAAGAGTGATAATAATATAATGTGCTCCTACTCTTACCTACTCGTAAATAAATTTTAAATTATTTTTATGCGTAAGCATAATCATTCACACATTCTTGTTCTTTATTTTACTCTTTATTTTATTTCTCTTGTAAATTGTACCAGACATTAGGTACATTATTTTACCTTCTTAAAACAGAGTGGAAATCAAAACGTCACTTACTTAGTTCGCTGGGTTAGACGACAGAAATTAATGGTTTGTTAAAGCATTGTTAACGTATCATTGCTGCCGCGATTGCTTGATGAGCTGTTAACAATAGCTTAACAAGTCGTTAAATGTCGTCTAGTGCCCCACTGGGAATTAGGTTTTTACTAAGTACCTTTTATAATAATACTATCACACCACAACTCTACCAAAAGCATTTTTAAATGTTTGACTAATAAGTTTGATTACTATAATGATAATAAATAAATAATAACAAACAGATTTATAATGCAGCAAAACCTTTTTCAAAATGCAATACCCACACCAATACATAGCCATAAGGTTTATTGATGTCTATCTATTTATAGCACCAATCAAAGATCCCGATTCCAGGATTTACGAGCATTAGATCTAAGAAGGTTTTAGTCCTTGAAATATATTTACCTTTTTTCAGTCTTCTATGTAGCAGATCAAAAACGGGACGTTAGTATCACTATTTATTTTTTATCGCTGAAAATCGTTTGAGCTGTGTAACAGTAGAGAACACCACCTATGGCTATCTCTTTCACATTCACACCACGCAACGAGAGGCTAACTGACAGAGTTTTACGCGTTTATCGATTTCTTGTAGCTGTTTTGCAGACCTCACAACACCTATACCACTTTTTGAAACCTTACAAAACCAGCTCCATCGAACACAGCGTCGAACTAAGCACCGATGCTTTCGCAATTTCGAACAGAAAATCGATAACTTGGTAGTTATTTCGTAACTCACTATCACTCGCTGCTATTTAGTATTCACTGGTACAGCCACGACTTCTAATTTGAGTAATCCGTATGTGCGTATTCCTTTGGCCTAAATATTCAGTAATAAAAAAAATAACTATAGGGACAGATAAAAGAGTGAGTGATGTTTCGCGCTCACAGCTGTTACCTCCTGCGAGCTCCCTCTCAGTGAAATGGGGATGGGAGAAAAATTCAAGATGGCGGAACGTTGCGCGCGCATTTTCCACGCAACCTGTCAAACTTGGGCGGCGATAAATCTGGCTGTAATCTTTGTGAAAGAATATCACTTTAGCTTTTTTCTTGATTAAAATTAAGAAATATATTGCGTTTCACTAAAAGATTTGGAAAAACTATTTACTTATGCTGTAAAATTGACTGACTCTATAATGAAACTTTTTTCAATGTAATCCTTCCTAACTGTACAATATCAACAAATAAGTCAACTTGTACGCAGATTGGTTTCAAGTAGCGACGATGAAAATCTGAAATTTGGAAGGGTATTTGTTATATTTATTTCATATAAGTAATATAAAATATATAACATTGAAGGCTATTTTTGGATACGACCATCTTCAAAGTCGACAGCTATTAGGTTTATCTCTTTTATCATTGTCAGGGGAAAATACTTAGGTTTGTTGAAAAGGCGATTTTTCTTCGCCTCGCTTAGCAGTATTAATGAAAAGGTACTGAGTGTAACAATTCGATTCGAATAATAAAAATAAAAATAATACAAAAATAAAAATCTGACCATTGAAATTATCTGCAGCAGATTTCAAAATGAAAGTTTAAAACTTGTTTAAACCTATTAGAGGGTTTGATTCCCATTGATATGAGGGTTAAATACCATGTTTGAAAAATAATAATTATTTTAAAATATTTTGTATTTTTTTCCCATTTAGTGTCATTATATCTGTAATGACAATGTTAATTTTTTTAAGTTAACCCTTTGTGACAAAAGTAGTCTCCCCTTTGCCTGAGGTTCATCTATGTATCGGTACCAAAATTCATCAAAAACGATTCAGCAGTTTCGGGCATAAACAGTATTATTTTGTTATATTTTTTTTTTAAATTGACATTGGCCTTATACGAAATGTAAGTTGAATTTGAGTTCTATCAAGCCTTTTTGCTTGATCAACTAAAAATAATACTCTCTCTGTATCTAAGTACGGATGCACACTCTATTGTTCTACATTTTAATGTGTAACATATGAATTATTGACTCACTTGACACAAATATTGCATTGTACAATGGCTTGGAATTACTCGGGCTGTGTTGAGAGCCTTGACCCCGGGGTGACCCAATTACAAGTACATGCAACCAGCTTCCGACCGTTCAATCGTTTGCTCCTGTGGATTCAATAAAGTCGTATATTTCAGTCTTTTTACATGTCTTACACGTCTGTATAATGCCAGTTTTCACCTTCAATCCCTAATTTAAGTGACCCTTATAGCTATGGTAACACATAACAGGAATTTTGTTTCCATAGGGGTCACTTAAAAATTAGGGATTGATGGAGAAAACGGACATAAAAGTCCCTTTGGACGATTCCTGTAGCCTGTACCTTCAATGAAGATCGAGATCGCAAACCAGTCGAAAAGTGGTCGAAAAGCCCCTTTTTTGTATGGAGTTTTGACGGATTCGATTTTCGATTCGATCAAAAAGTGCGTTTTGTCTAAGGGGGCTGTTGTGTTGTAGTTATTAAACGACTATTATTAATTTAATTTTATGATAATTATAATCGCAACAGCAAATAAATGTTATCAAAGATTTATGAATATTGGGTAATAAAAAATAATTAGTGAAATGCTTATTAAAAAATTAATAGAAAAATGCTGCCTGTTGAAAAAAATAAAAAAATATTGGTTTATTAAATTGTTTTTCAATTTGGCAACTATTAAATGTTTCATGCCTACCGAAAACAATGACATGTTTTTTCTTTGTTTCGCATTATACAGTGTGAGTCACGTTAAAGTGTACATATGAAAAAAGATAAAACTAGACCTGTTTTTATCGACAAAAAAGAGGTCAAAAATTTTTTGAGATTTTTTTAAAATTTTTTATAGAATTTTTTTTCTTCCAATTACTTATTGTAAAGAAAACGTAATAACTTTTAAACTAAGCGGTATATCCTAATAAAATAAAAACAGTAATAATGCTAAATAACAGGCGATACAAAAAAAAATACATAAAATACACAAAAAAGGCCAAAAAATAATAAAAAATTATACTTTTTGAAAAATATATGCTTAAAAATTCGTGTTTTTTTGGTTATTTGATAAATTTCTCCAAAAAATGCCCCTATAACAGGTGGTTTTTATTACTTTGTATTATTCTCTATCGTATTATCTTTGTAAAACCAAAAATCGCATGTCTCTATCCCTATCACAACATTTGCTATGATCGTTTGAACAAAGGCCTGCCACAACATTATTCTCCGCTACAGGTAGAGACAATTTTAATTTTAACTAAAATGCTTATTTTACTTCGAAATCTTTTGTTTTTATTTGAAATCTAACTTGTCTTTATCAAAATTACAAATCTAGAGCCATTTTCAGTTTCGTTGTTAACGAAGCGTTGAATGGCGCGCCCGGAGAGGCTTAGTTCAAACGATCATTGCAAACGTTGTGATAGGGATAGAGACATGCGATTTTTGGTTTTACGAAGGTAATACGATAGAGAATAATACAAAGTAATAAAAATCACCAGTTATAGGGGCATTTTTTGGAGAAATTTAACAAATAACCAAAAAAACACGAATTTTTAAGCAGATTTTTTTCAAAAATTATCATTTTTTATTATTTGTTGGCCTTTTTTTGTGTATTTTATGTATATTTTTAGTATTGCCTGTTATTTAGCATTATTACTGTTTTTATTTTATCAGGATATACCGCTTAGTTTAAAAGTTATTACGTTTTCTTTACAATAAGTAATTGGAAGAAAAAAAATTCTATAAAAAATTAAAAAAAAATCTCAAAAAATTTTTGACCTCTTTTTTGTCGATAAAAATAGGTCTAGTTTCATCTATTTTCATATGTACACTTTAACGTGACTCACACTGTATAAATGTCGATATAACTCTCAATTTATAAACAAAATTCCGATATCAAGGAGATTATACTCACACTCGACAATCGATAGCCAATTAAATTTCCACTTTGGGAGTTTGTCATCTCCATGTAGAAGAAAATTAGGTCGAGCGGGTTCTTTTGTTTGAATAGATCAAACTGGAGATAGGTTCGAAAATTGATTCAACGGATTTTCAAGTTGGATTTTTTAACAATTAATTGTGCCAAACATAAAACATTCAGTTTTTGTAAAAAAAAAAACATACGGGTCGAATTGAGAACCTCCTCCTTTTTTAGAAGTCGGTTGAAAATATTTACCATCACCATATTGTTTTAATTTTTTTTATCCACTACGAGAGAGCTCTTGGCTTGTATCTGTTAGTTATTAGTTGTTTTATAGAGTGTCTATCGTTTGTATTTCAAATACCATTATATTTTAACTAAATTGCAGCAAGAAATGTGTAATGGTTGGTTACCATTAGGAAATGTTTGTAGCGCTTTGTGAGAAGAGTTAGATGAATATAAGATAGTTAGCGGATATTAATTTCTAAAATTACAGATAACATTATTTTTTGTAAATTATGTAAATAAACATTGATTGGTGTTACTCAAAGAATAGTAGGTACCTACAAAATATTAATTTATCAATGTTCTTCAGGCAAACTTTCAGTCGCCATCTGTTATTTTCCCCCAGAACTAACATACAAGATTCTATATCGCTGCTTATTTACAGCTAAGCGTTTGAATACCACGAGTTTCCCGCCGCTGTCCATAGAGGACGTTGAAAGCTAGCCATACCACAGAATAATAATAAGTATGGCCATACCTACTACAAGCTTACTACCAAATAACTAATCACGATATTAATGTTTTATTTAAAAATGTATAAACCTATAAAACAATTAATTTAAATTGACGATAAACAAGACCAAAAGAAAATCTGTCGTTTAGAGATTTTTCAGAAGCCACGGGCCAACTATAAATACGCACTAGAACACTAAGTACCTAAAAAAATTATAAATAATGCCATCTAACACAATTCAACAATACCTACATCACAACTTAAATAAAATAAGTATACCTAAGTATAATTCTGTAAATACGAGTAGCTTAGGAAAATTCGTACACATCATTTTTCTCGTTCCTCTATAAACAAGAATGCCTCTCAATAATGGAAACCGCGAATAAAGCAACCTCTCAAAGAGGCGATCCCTCACGTTTCAGAGTAGGCTGTGATCTTTTGATCCACGAGTACATTTCTTATTTGTTTTGTTTTTAACGGATCATATATTTTCTCTCTGCTTCACGATACTTGAGTCGAGTGTTTCAAAATAATAACGATAATTGGTAGGTATTGAAAAACGATTAATAATTATTCTCGTTTCCAAACGAACCGTTTTTGGGGTTCTGTAGGAATGTGAAATAATTATTTGTCTTGTCAGGATGCTATTTGTACCTACTAATTGTATTTTTTTATCTGAACTTAGTCACTATACTGAATGATATTGAGTTTTCCTTTAAAACATACTTTTGTGGTTGTAGACTAAGATGTTTTTATGATATGTCATTGGTTGTAGAGCGTAACATCCGCGGCAGGCGTTTTGGTCATTTCTATTAGAATCTTTCTAGTTCTAGTACCCAAGGCGCCGACCACTAAGTGGAAGTGAAAACTCCCCAGGTTTTAGTAGGTTCAAACCGTACTTAACCTGCCACCCCCGAGGGCAGGCATGGATAGGCCACTTTCCTGCACCACTCATGCCTTTACAAAATGCGTACAGTCTAGGAGTGAGTGACTTTCCCCCGGAACAGACTTGACCTTCACTGGTTAGTTTTTATTGGCGGTCAAGCTGTAGATCCTAATATCTACACAGGCGTAGCAGCGCTGCAGCGGTGGGAAAGAGATGTGGGAATAGTCCCGTAGTCTTAACTACCAGTCTGCGTTAGGCTCTATCTTACGGCCTTAATGATTTAGGCAGCGCAGCCTAAATAGACTCTAGACTGGATTTCTCTACCCATAGTCTAAGTAAACATACTATGGTATTAAAGGACATTTGTAAATAAATAAAAGCGGTACACCTTTGGTATGAACATGGTCATAATTCTTTTACACCTGTATTCATAAACGATGCTTGCTTAAGTGAAGCATCAAATCAAATGCACAGCGTTGAATAGCGCTTTGCAATTGGTTCGTGTGTGACCCTGTGCGTCCACGCGCACTGTGAGACCTCAAAGTAATGTTTGTAATACTTTATAAGTATCGTAATACGCTTATTTTTCAGCCCTGCCCTTATTTTTCATTTGCTGGACATGGATCTTACGAGCATCTCCTGTTTTTTCATCAGATAACCTATAAGATCTAAGATAGAGCAGGGATGTTCTGCTCTATGTTTGTTAATTTATAGGGAACCATGTTATTAAACTTTATTCCCACTGTTCAGACACTACAGTTAAGTATGCGGTCGTTATTTAGGCCTAGCTGGTCTCAAACATAAATTGACCTAATTATTTGCGGTCACAGAAGAGGGACTTTTTTACATAGCTCAGGTAAAAAAAGATAACTGTAATGATACGATGGTTTTGTGAACGGAACAAAAAAAGGCACACTTTATTTGGTTCTTGGTAATAAAAGTTAAATAAACGAAAGTCGATCAATTTTGTTCTCATCGGAAACTTTCCTACAAATATATTGAACCTATAAATACCTACCTTTTTATAGCTTTACTATAAAACAGTGATCTAAAAAAGTGTATTAACTACATTCAAAAGGTTTCATCATTGTAAAGAAATTTCAAACCCTTTGAAACTCAAAAATAATTCAAACCATACCGCTTATTTTAATTATTTAACCTTTTCTTTTAAATTTGAAACCTTACTCACAATGTTTCGTCCCTCGTTCTGCAATAGAATAATGTTCTATCAAAGAGCCTGTCATTTGTCCTGAGGCTATATTTAAATACGATATTCAAGTCTTAACAAATCCGATTAAATTTTAAACAAAGCGTTAATAAATTTAATTTAAGCTGCTAGTGTTATTCCATTAGCAATTCATTCGTCATTTAATTTCGCTAATTGACACTATAATTAATTAATTGAGTATAATACCTAGGGTTTTAGTGGTTGGGAATAAAAACGTTTGTGGTAATATTACACGCCCTTTTACTGTTCAATAAATATCGTAAACGTTTTACACTAATCCTAAACCAAGCAAATTTTTTTCCATGGGTATAAGTACCAGATAATGGTGATAGATATGACATCACACCCATGTTTATATCGAATCTGTAACTTATTATGTTATGGGATATTATGGAACTTTAGTAAACTAAATTTTCAAACTTTTGATCTAAGAGTTAATACTAACATAGTTAATGTAAAGTTGCAGATACAGACTTCAATCCTTTATAATTTCAAATATCCGAACTATAGACAAACTGATTCAATATTATGATGTACGAGTATTAAAGACATTGAAAATTAAAGTACACCCGACCTTTGGGTGTCGTCAAATATTTCTGTGCCAAAGACACGGGCGTCTACGTTATCCGCGGAAATGTCGCCCGCCCGAAATAGATGTCGCGTCGACAGCGCGCGTGACGTCACCGCGCGTCAGATGTTTGCGCCGGAGTGGCAGCGTGGAACAATTATACAATACTCTACGCTGAACCATTTAAATTGTCGCGTTCAGAACATTAGCTACACTTTCTCGAATTAGCTTAAGCCGGGCTTTGAACGACATGGTAAAATCTTATCATGGCCGATTTCAGACGCCAAACATAAATTATGAGATTAATGTCTAAAATTGATAAAATGCCTCAAAAAGATTTTATCGTGGAGCTTAATCTGACTTTACTTGTTACAGACTAACAGGTTTGTCAAATCGGTTGATGGAGATCAAGTCTGGTTTCACACGCATTTTCTTCATAAATGGGCGTGGCAAAAATTTAAGTAGGTACCTACCTATATCTACATATATTTCATAGTGAATTTATTTGATTTTATTTGATGGTGACTGAATTCATACGCAAGCAATAAATTAAAATGCTAGGGATTGTGTGGAAGAAACTCGTTCACTGAAACCTGAAAACCACTCAACCAATTAAACTAAGAGGTAGGCTTCGGCTAGGGAGCGTGATTAGATAGGGTTAAACCACAGGGTTAAATGGATAGTTAAGGCTAGGCATAAGTACCATCGAGTACAAAAACTTGGAGAATTGATGTAGAATAGGAAAGAAACCATTTGCCCAGATGTGAGCTGATTACAATAATAATAATGAAGGTATTCAGCGTCAAATTGCATTCTATGCTCTAATACCCGCGTGCAGGAATATCTAAATGGGGTCACACTCAATGCGTTTCCTTCTCCAGTATTGTGATCGATTCGATTTAAGATGAGAAATATGTTTATTTTTGGCTTTTTAACGTAATCAGCCAATAAGAAAAATATTACATAATAATAAAACTAAGCTATTTCTCCTTGACAAAGATCAAAATTTTGAATAAAATACAACTTCGGTTTTTATAAGCGAAGCAGTCAAGATTTACGGAAACAGTAGGTAAACCTATACATTGAGAAATGAAAAGCAAAGAAAAATAAAACGAAGAGAAATACGGGTACTGTTCCTATTATTTTTTACTGTTTTAACGTGTTTTCTATATCAACGATCTTCTCGTTGAAAAAACACGTAGGTATGTGTCACTTTAGAATGACCTATATTTTAATATTAGTTTGTTGTAGGTAATTATTTTCAGCACGCAACGGTCTTTAACATAAAAAATAAATTGTTCTGTAACAATTAACTACCGAGAATCAGTCTAATTGGTGTGTTCTGTTGATAAAATGTCTAGTACAATTACTAGGCGATTATTGATTGACTCAACTGGGTTAATGAGCGAAACATATTGGCGACAGAACAAAAATACGGCGGCCTTTCAAAATTGCAGAGCGTTTGCATGTTGGGCGGCGGTGCATAGGGCTGCCGCTTGGCACGCCACGAACTTTGGCGCTCAGTCCGCCCTGAGACCGCGCGCTCGCCGCCCGCCGCGACTCCGCGCCGCCCTACGCGCCCATCGCAAATGGACTACGATCGACACTACGAAAATTATCATCACCTATCTTTATTTCACGCGAACAAAAACAACCCAATATCGAACGACCGTGCGAGCTTCAAAAATGACTTAACTTTTTCCCACTTTTAAAAACTTTATTTAGATACCCCCTTTTCAAAATCACCACTCACACACCATGCGTCATCGAGGAAAGTCACACCGAAACCAATTTATACACAAAAAACGACTGAAACTTTCTGATTGCAACCTTTAAAAAGTTTACATACGATTTATAATAATATTTACACTGTTTTACAAATGGTTTTGGACATTATTTTATCCTTCAGACCCTTAGAAGTTTAAGTGTGACCAAAGACAATTAAATAATAATAAAGTTTAAATAGAGTAGAACTTTTAAAGTGTGTTTTAGCTCAAGTGTTATAAAGACAACAATAAGTGTGTTAATAACTAGTTTATAGTATCACATTAATATAGTAAAGTACTTAGTGAGTGTTTAGTGTTTTTGTGTATTCGTAATCCGTAGTCATCAAATTCTGAGTTGGTAAGTTTATTTTGTATATTTTTATTTTAAAATATTAAGACATTCGTGTATATTAAGATTCTTAATATGAAATTATGGGCAATACCACATATTTTATAAAATGAGTTCGAAGAACTTTCGTCAAAAGAATCTGAAGGACATAATAATATGCTCTCATCTCTGCAATAACTCGCAAACTTGGGCGGAAATCAAAATTTTACAATTGTATCTCAAAATAAAATGTCTTCGAGTGCCAGTGCTCCACTTTTATTTCTTTAAGAATGGGGACATTTTATATTTACCGCTTTAAAATGTTACAGTACATTTTTTACTGCTTCATCTCACATTTCGTCCAGTAAAGTCTAAATGCACTATTTTTATGACTCGAACTCTTCTTAGCTGTAAGCTTTTTATAGCAGTTTGTTTATTTAAAGTTGATACAAACAAAACGTTATAATAAGAAATAAAAGTCAAAATTTTAGGCTGTTATTGACTATTTGGTCAAAACTTTTAAATTCAACTCGATGTTATAAGACAGTCTCGTTGAAAATAGTTAGTACTGTTAACTGCTCTTAGCAATCTATAAACTATAGCTACGAAACTTGTGCCAAGTCCAATGACATCGCTAGGTATTTATAAAACGAATTTACAATGCCAAACGCCTTCCGTGAAGGTAACACTAGCGTTATTTAATACATCCCTACTGTAAATGAATAGTTGGTTATCATAATACTAGAATTATGTGTCATAATATAGTATTATAATATTACAAGTTCCTGGTTCTATCATAAATTTGTTCTGTAAGTAGCTTAGATGTCCACCTTCAAAACTTTTAAAACTTTACTAGGAATAAAATGCAAATAATAATAAACAATTGATAGGAAAACATAGCACAGTTTTACAGTAGGTAAATTGGAAAATTATACTAAATAGTAGACGCCATTTATTTATTTATTTATGACAACAAACAAGACACAAGTACAAGCAGAGGGGTTTGCATACATATTTTTTCTTAGGACTAGGTGCTATCTTAATTACAGGCTGCCACGGCATGCAAGAGTGGACTTTTGACATAGTATAATAATTTATGAAACATTAGAAGCTTATTATAATTCTTTCATTATTACGCTACAAAATTGTAGGAAAAATTTATTAAAACAACCAATCAAACCACTTTGTTACTTCATATTCACTTTTGCAGTAGTTCAATGTAACTCACATACAAAATAATTCGATCCTCGTTATCAGATAAAACATGTTACGCACTGTTTATTAATAAACTGCCCAATTTATCAAATACATCCTACACAACCCCTGGGTTTTATGAAAATGTTCAAAAACATGAGTTATTATGCACCGATAATAAACTGTCTAATTTATCAAATACATCCTACAATAACTGGTTTTTTATGGAAATGGTCAAAAACATGTTCTACTGTCTAATTTATCAAATTCATCCTAAAACATCTAGTTTTTTTATGGAAATGTTTAAAACATGTTCTAATGCACCATAATAAACTGTTTAATTTATCCAATACATCCTACCCGACACTTGCTTTTAATGGAAAGGTTCAAAAATATGTTCTGATGTACATACCTTAATAACTGTCTAATATCTAATATATATATTATATCCTACACAACTCCTGGTTTTTATAGAGAAATATTCAAAAACATGTTCTAATGCAGGTGTATTAAGGTTAATAAAATGTGTAATTTATTAAATACACCCTAGATAACACCTGGTTTTTGCGGAAATGTTCAAAAACATATTATACACCTTGATAAACTGTCTAATTTATCAAATATTTCCTACAACACCTAGTTTTCGTGGAAATGTTAAAAAACATGTTCTGATTAACCTTAATAAACTGTCTAATTCATCAAATACATCCTGCACAACACCTGTTTTTTATGGAAATGTTCAAAAACATGTTATTATGCACCGTAAATCAGGTATACTCAGATGGCCAAGTTAATATTAATGAGCCTCAATTTCCTTGGGGAAACACTCGTGTTCCTGAAAAAAGAGGAAAATGTCCCTGCTTATGACAGCCCGAGAAGGTATTAAACGTTCGAGACTTTATGTTAGGTGTGCGAATTTTGCATTAATCCGGGTTCCGAGTAAAATTTGCCTAAAAGATGTTTAGTTTATGTCCCACCCACTTTTGCCCAGCTTTCGTAATGTGTTCAAAGAAAAGCATGACTTTGTTGCAACTTGGGAGTTGGGAGTGAATAAGCCTATTAAATTTATTTTTAAAGGATGAGTATTTCCTCTGTTGGATTTCTAGATGGATTTAACAAGGATTTGTAGTCATACTTGCTGTGCTCCGCGGTGTTACCCGCGGTAAAAAGTAGCCTATGTGGTAAAATCGCTCCAGCCGTTTAGAGCTGAAGAAGTAACAAACATACATACTCACAAACTTTCGCCTTTATAATATTAGTGTGATATGATTTGTAATTTTAACAACTTAGGACCCATCAACATTTTACTTGATAAGAATTTTTTTTAAGCCATCTATGAATGTGAAAAGACAACATAAGTAATAACAACATAACGAGAACATAAAATACCTGCTCGTATTTTAAAGTGAAATTCGTGGATGCGAGCAAACATATTAAAATACATACATTCCCATTACATTTGGATACCTGTGAAGCCACAATAAACAACAAAAACTAAAAAGCAATTAAGTAATGGACATAACGACTGCCCAAAACAACTCACAACAACTTTTATATCTGCACCGCGTTATGGAAAAGGTACTCGTACAAATCAATACGTCTGATCTAAAGTCGGAGCCACTCTGCAAATGTGGAGTCAAAAGTGGGTTTGATTTATGTGCGACGGCTATTTCAGGAATAGGTACCGGATCACAATATGTGACCCGAATAGGCTAAACCAATTTAATCTGCTTCGGATTTAAAACGTTTTAGGATACAGATTTTAAAAGTAAATTGAAATAGAAACACTCTAGGCACATGGCATAGATTCTAGATGTTATCAAACACAGATAGTTTCAGACATTTTGTATGCACATTGCACATGTCACTGTAATTTTCCTAATTCTAAAGACTATCATGAGGTTATTTAAATACATTATTAAAATAATAACAATAACAATGTCTTGATAATGCTTTGTGAAATAAAATAAAACAAGACACACAATTTGAAAAACATTTATTATCACTCCATAACATAAAATTGAAACGCATAATGTTTTTCAGTTTAGTAAATTATTTATTCTGCATCACCAGTGCCTCTACCATGAGTTTACCTACCGAGCATCTCGCTATCGAGGGCGTAAAAAAATGTATGGCAAATTGTACAGCGCCTCTAGTGGTTAGTAGCTGAACCACAGCAAAACTAAAAACACTACCATGAGTTCATCTCAAATCGTTAGGTAAAAAACCTATCTAAATGAATTCGATAGCGACTAAAGTTTTTATTAAGTTTCATACAAATAACTTACCATGAGTTGCAATTTTCAAAGATGTCATCGAAAAATACCTTAGCTGTCACAGTAACGTAACTCACTGGCTTATTGACGTGTGAAAAGCAAAATAAAATTGTGGTTTTAGGTCATTTTAGGTGTTTTCTTTATTAAATTATGTCGGAAAGAAGTTTATTACGATGGAACATGTTATCAGCATGTGGGCAGACCTCCCACTAGGTGGACCGACGATCTGGTGAAGGTCGCGGGAAGAACCTAGATGCGGGCACATTGTGGAGATCCTTGGGGAAGGGAGAGGATGCTGCGTTTCCCAGAGATATGCGAGGGAATTGTGTCGTGCGAAGATGTCTAGCTGTGCTGTGAAAATGTGTGCGGGTTTCCACCAAAGCTGTGCGAGGAAAATGTATCGTACGAGGATGTGTAGCAGAGATTTGAAAATGCTCATTAGTGTTGTACAGCCTGAGCCTTTTCTACCAGAGATGTGCTGACCGAGGCGAGGTAAATGAAGCGATTCTATTGGTTCTTTACAAACACATCCTTCGCTACGCATCCTCGCACATCTCTGGTGGAAACGCAGCCTTACGAGATCATGATAGAAAGCTAATCCGACAATGAATATGTATTTTCATAAGTTGAAATTTACTTTTGTTTTTAATCAG